TTGTTGATGATAAACGTCATGGCTGATGCGAGAGCGGTGATGCCCAACGTCGTGCGTCCTATTTACATAGATGCAGATGGAACTTCTTCAGTAAGATGAGGGCCTGACAGCTATGGGTCACGTCGGGAGGGTACGCGAAAGTCTGTAGCCCTCGGTGGCTTTTGAAAGGGCGAGTCTGAGCGTCTGCTCCGCTGTTAGGGGCTTGAGAGGCCGATGGCCGAACACGTCCGCCACGATTCCAACGTGATAAGCAGCCAGGAGGAACAAAGAGTGTTTCTTGAGGCAAGTGGACGAGCAGTATTGGAGCAGTGTCTCGCATTAGCCTAGCGACCGCTTCCGTGCTCGGTCGGGCGAAAGTGCAGAGCCAGACCGCTGTGGCCGGAAGCGGGTGCAGAGGCCGCCGCCCATCACCATAGCGTGCCCAGCTATGACAGAAGGCCAGAGTCACGGCTTGTGCGGCAGAGTCTGCGACCAGACGTAGGCTGACATGTAACTCTGCTGCACTGGGCTTGCTCAGAACACCAAACGGGCTGCAGGCGGATGCTTTGAGGGGTGGGCAGGTTGGGCGACGGGGACTGGATGCTGGGTGCTCTGGTGCTCGGGGAAGAACATCAGCCAGCCGCGCTATGAATGATAACGTCAAGGGCCGCTTCTGATGGATGCGTCCAACGAATGGTAGACCGTGTGCTTCTGCGTGCAATCTAACCAAACTTGAAACTCGCCAGGAAAGAACGAAGGGCAGCGCCTCCGCGCCCAGGGATGCGCCGTGTAGCCCGCAGCAGTGCGAGCACCTCGGAGCATACCTGGGCGACACCGACACGTCTGCTAGAGACTGGACGGCAGTGCGAGCAGCAAAAAAGCGACAATGAAGCTGTCCACAGTCGCTGGCATCTGCATCGGGCGCATGCGGTGAGGGAGCGCAGCATCGGCTGGGTGGAGGAGGGGTCGTGGTCCGGGTGCGTGTGCTATGGCAGTAGCAAAACAAGCGTGCCTGCCTCGTTCGCACCTTAGGTAAGCGGGCCTTGTTTGTTGGGGGAGGGCGCGCCTTCCCTCTCACAAAATGTGCTGCTGAGCCCTCACCCAATTCCTCCCCTAACAAATCCGCCGCCCATACAACTTTCGCCCGCAAAGACGTTTGGTGAGTCCGCCTGCATTTTGACGAAGTCGCAACATCACCAGCACCACTTTTCGCAACCACACCCTTTTTCCACGCGTTTCCCCGGTCCAATTGGCCCAACCAGGACTCTCCCAGCCTTCTTTCTTCCGTCTTCTGAACGTCATTGCCTTCAGTCGATTCTTCATCGCCGTCGCCAGCACCCACTGCCACGCGCCTACTGACCGCAAAACAGACCTCAGTCAACACTTCCAATTTACTCCCATCTAGCTGCTTCTGTAAGTACCCACACCTTCTCTTACCCGAAAATCGCGCATCATCGCGTTGTGTTGTGGTGTTTTGCGACCGCGTCACCTCACGCGCATAGCAGCGCTGCACCACCATTACCCACTCACCACAACACTACTCCGTTTGCAGGCGAGGACACTAGCTGTGGCCTATACTCGTATTCTCAATCTCACCAGCAGCCATTGTGCCTTCCTGCCACGCTACTCTTACCTACTCGCTGCTTGCAACCCAATCAGCAGCTAACAAGGAACCACAGCCATATACACCACTCAACCACCACTATGCCCAAGGAGAAGACCACCCGCAAGGCCGCGCCTAAGTCCAAGGCTGACGGCGGCAAGAAGAAGAAGGGTAAGCAGCTCACGTGCATCTGCAGACTCGGGCACTGACTCCAGCAGACCCCAACGCGCCCAAGCGTGGTCTTTCCGCATACATGTTCTTCGCCAACGAGCAGCGCGAGAAGGTCCGTGAGGACAACCCCGGTATCAAGTTCGGTATGTTTGCGCTCTTTCTCCGTCTTTGACTCCCCTCTAACATGGAACAGGCGAGGTCGGCAAGGTTCTTGGCGAGAAGTGGAAGGCCCTGAACGAGAAGCAGCGCACTCCCTACGAGGCCAAGGCTGCCGCCGATAAGAAGCGGTACGAGGAGGAGAAGGCCGCCTACCAGGTATGTTCATGCATGCACTTCAAATTGATGATAAGTTGACTAACCATCACCAGAACGCCGAGGAAGAAGAGGAGGAGTCCGAGTAGAGGCAATCGCCTCATTCGTGCTTCCACCAACAGCGTTGAAGATGTCTTGTCATGGGCGGCTCGGGCTACCAAGCCTGTCTCGATTTCATTTGTGATCTTCCTACTTCTTAATGGGTTCGTTATCTCTCGCGGAGGAAGGTCTTCGGCTAGCCAATCTGTGGTTCATTTCGAAAAGGACGCTGGCGGTCAGTGCAAACCACGCTGATGGCGGGCGGTCATGATGTTTGGGCGTCTTCCCCTCGACGTCGTGAAAGGAACATCACGAAGCTCATGACCAAGTCTATGTACACTAGCAATTGCGGTATGGAAAGTCTTTGCTGCTTCTACAATGTTTCCTCTGCTGTGTGACCGTGATGTTGATGCGATCAGGCTTGGGCGTAGCACTACGCATGCTGATAGTAGCTCAGGTCCCAGGTCAGCCCCTGACGTTGAAGTTTGTGTCTTACCTGCTGTCAAAAGCAGGCCATGACGGCGTGATAGACCCTTCCGTTCGTAGCAACCAGAAGTTGGCCCTCTAGCGACAGGTCTTTGACGTTTCCTCACACCGCCGAACCGGGTGCCCGCATTCACGGTAGGGGTTGTTTCCCTGGCTTCACAACCACACTTTCCCGGACCCCACCCCCTCAATCCACTCACTCTATCTCAAGTCGCCTACATAATGTCTCTAACTCGTTCCTATGCCATCAATCGATCATTGCATCAAAGCGCCGTTGGGCTAGTGGTATGCTATCGCCTTCCCATCGTACATCGGACGAAGGACCAGGCGGGGATCACGGGTGTAGGATGCCAAACCATGCATCAATTCGAACCATGCCGCTAACATTGAACAGTCAAACCCCGTACGGCGCATTGCTTTCTTTTTGCCGCTCTTTTACGGAAGGTGGGGTGTGTTTTTTGCCGGGGGTGTCGCGTGGGAGTGAAGTCTTAGTGATGTAGACGGAAGGTAGGTGAACGTCATTTTGGGAAGCATTGGGAAGGTGCAGGCGATTAATCTCTTGTTAGGAAATAAATTCCTGAAGTGTGCTTAGATGTGCTCACTAGTGAATGCAAGATGCGCGTGAGGCGCTTGTCTACGGTCTAAAGAACGTAGCTGGATGAAAGCTGGATGGCTGGTATAACTCTTCGACTTTAGTAAATATTGAACACTGTCTGGGTATGATTTGAACGCCTAGCTTTGCCGCCTCCCGACAGTAGAAACACATAGATCATGGTAGTCAAGGGGGAGACCAACCACATCGTTCCCACGTATCTTTTTCATCCACCTTTTGCTAAGATATCGTTCGAACGTGAAAGGTACCCAATGCAAATCCGCAAGCACTACTCTCTTTGTAAAACCACCATCACACCCATCATGCCTAACATGACCTGCTTCAGCCATGGATGCTCGCTCAGCAGAATGGTAACGTATCCAACAAAGGGTATGAAGCCGACGACGCTTCCGATGACATCTTCTTTGCGGTTCAGGAAGGATTGGCCGGCGGCGTAGAGTTCGGTGTCGTCCGCGAGGTTGTTGTCGCCCTTGGTCAGGAGGCGGAGGGGTGTTTTGCTAGTAGTTGGGTCAGCGTGAGCTTTGTGGTAACGTCTGAAAACCTGCGAGCTGATCTTGACTTCTCCAACCCTCATTGAGAACCTCAGTCACAGCGAAAGGGAAAGAGCGCGACTCACCCTCCTCCATATCTCCTCACAACGCGATGCACGATCGGGATGTCTTTGCCCTTAACGTTGTACACCACAATTTCGCCCACTTGTGTATCTGCGCCCCGGTTCCACAGGAACAGCAGATCTCCTCGTTGGAACGCAGGCTCCATGGATCCCGACAGAACGACGACAATAGGCGAGGGCGAGTCGGAGACCACGGACAGTCCTTTCCACATCATGAAGGCGGTTGAGAGGACGAGCGCGAAGTTCAGGACTTGTGCGGCGAGTTGCCGCGGCTGCATATTCGCAAGGCCCAACATAGCTGCGGATCGGGAATGCTGATGCGAAGGTTGGAGGTAGAGGTGCGCTCGTTGATCGTGGAGTGGGACGTGGGGCGCGCGACCGGGTCGTAGACTCGCGTCTTGAGAATATGAATTCACCGCAGGCGTATTCGGGGATATGTGTAGGGGTGGGCGGCGCGGCGACTTGCGCGTCGGGGAATTCGTGGTCGAGATGTTGAAGCCAGATGTCCTTGGCTTCGCTGTTGCGGGCAGCTTAGTCAACCTCCGAGATGTGAGCTATGAACTCCGCATCCCTCTCTGCTACTTGACCATAACAACACACGACACTTTCAAATAGCGGCACACGACTCATAAGCCCTAGCCTCATCATGTTTCGGTCTGATAATGGTTATGAGGGACTTGTCGCGCGTGAGGGTCTGTTTTCGTCTTTCACCTGGCATGATGGCCCTCACCGAAGCCCACCTTTACCCTGGGAACGTATCCACACGATGTCTAGTTATGTCAGGCTTCGTTTTGACGCTCACATACAACACTGCTCAATTCTTCCTCCTCCCAATAGGTTGAAATTCGATCTACAGCTGTCACACAACTGTCGCTCACCAGCTCTCATTCCTATCTGTCACTCCCCAAACAAACGACCCCACATCACATAATCAAGGCCATCACGATGCGGCTATCGCCAGGCGATATGGTGCAGTATAGGACTCCTGGTTTATTCTTCCCGCTATGGCCGGCGGTCATTTGCGACGACAATATGGCACCGGGGGACGTGTTGGGAACTCGTCCACATGGGAAATCAACTCTGGTCTTACTGATGGGCGAGGATCTGGTCTTGTAAGGAACTTGAAGCTTGAACAATGTCTTGACCCTGCTAACTCGACAAGTCGCTGGGCGCATGCCGCAGACATGAGGGAGTACGACCCTTTCACGCCCTACACGCACGAAGAGGTTATCGAAATCACGCCAGGACTTGGTGATGCATATGAGATGGCGAGCAAAGCACTTGATGAGCATATGGGCATTGATCAATGGCGAAAGCAACTGATGAATCTAGCCAACGAGGCTTCGGGCTCGGACACTAACATGAACGACTCGGGCGATGATTCAGACTCAGATCCAGAAATGAGACAGGCTCTCCGGCAGAGCCGCAAAGAATTCTATGGTAATCGGTCGAAAGGGCGAATTGCGAACAGCTTCTCACATCCACCGACTTCATCACAGTCGCCATCAAAACCTGCGCGGTTCCCAGCCAATCGTCGCGTTTCTGTCGTCTCCGGCTCCAGCAGAGCTCCAGATACGATCTTGAATGCATGGGAAGCACCGTCGAGACCTGCCGCCAGCTCATCGCAGCCCTCAAGAGACCATGGACAACTTCAGGCCGTACCATCCCCACAAGATCGGTTGAATATGCGCAGAGACACGCCAATAGACCTAACGGACGACAGCAGCGCCCATAACTCGACTGAGGTAAGAACGGCCGAATCGAGACAGAGACACTTTCAACAGGTAGGCTTCCTCGACCATCAGCTTGGTGGCGTGGGACGTGGTCGGAAAGAACCAATCAGCGATACCATCGAGGGCGAGCTGTGAGTCTCCTATCAATCTCTCATACCCTCTCAGCTAACAGAATCTAGCTCAGAAAGCAAGGAATTCGTACAAGTATTGGTCGGGCCTGACCAAGAAGTCTATAACCTGCAAATATCGTGTCTGTGGGACCGTCCATACTTCAGAGACTCCAAGCAGGGCCTCCTCCTGATCGACCACAATGACGCCGGGATGTGGGAGCTCAAACACCCTGCTCTTGTCGACATTAACCCCGAAGACTTCACATTTATCGCAGAATACCTAGAAAGTGATGGATTTGGTCATCGGAACCCGCAAGAGGGTGAGGAAGCGAACGAAGCCTTTGCACAATGTGTTGCGGCGTGGATCACCGCGGAGGTTTTGGGTATGTGGGACATGCTGGAACATGTCGCTGAGAAGCTGAAGGGCATAAAGCCGGGGAAGTTGGAAATATTGGTGTTCTGTCGACATGTTTTCGCACAGGATACAACATCAATCTCCCATGAATATCTCAAGGAACATTTGGCCGTATACATTGCGGAAAACTGGTGGCCATACCTCAGGGATGACCACTTGAGGTCGAGCTTCATTGAGCTGCTGCAACACTTCCCAGAGTTGCAGCGAGACGTTTACGAGCGGAGGATTCTGGCGCTGAAGAAATGCATTGATCAGAGTCAAGAAGATAGCGATACTGACATGGACTGAGTATGTCATGGCTCATCGGGTTGTTCTTCTGATCTACTTGTTTTGCTTTCAAAAAGTTCAGTCATGTTTTTCTTCTAGGTTGAGAGAGGACGAGGAACAAGTCCCTTATTATCTTCATCATTGTACTTGGAGAAGCTATTCCAGCCCTGAGCATGTCTTGCCAGAAGCCTCTTTCACATCCTTTATCCAACAGACAAGCCGAATTGCCCAGCTTCAATCGCAGTATCGTGAACAGTGCAAAGAACAAGCCTCAGTCGGAGTCGCTTTCGAACTCCGGAACATTCGGATCTAGGCGCATGTGGTCAGTATGCCATCTTGTTTGTCGCCTGCTCATCGCGCAGATACATACCTCGAAGTGCCATGTACTCCAACGTACCACCAGCCTTCTCCGCAAGATTATCCCTTACCAGCGTCAACTCCTCTTCCGAGAGCAGCGTATCCGTGTCTGCCATGTCTATCGAGACACGGATGGCCTGATTACCCGGTCCGAGTCTCGATACAAAGTCCAGTAGACCATCCATGGTGAATTTGGATATACCGGAGATGGTAACAGTACGTAGATTTGGCAAGCTGGCGAGGTGAGGAAGCACAATGTCGTTGAGCTCCAGGCCGCTTACGTACAAATCCTCCAGCATTGTGAGCTCAGCGAGAATGGTGACGAGATGTTCATCCCGCAGCACCTCCGGAAGAATAAGGTGCAGATCTCGCAGCTCTGTCAATTGCTTCAAAGAGTCCACGAGAATATCCAGATCATCTCGAAACATGCCATCGGTATCGCCACTCAGGAAGAGCACCCTTAAAGAAGACTGCTGGTGTACAAGAGCCTGATGGAACGTCTTGTGATCTTTTAGCGTGTACGAGTCTATCTCTAGGCTGCTGAGTTGTATCTTCTCTTCGAGCAGTACGGGCGTGATGAGTGCGGCTCCGGATTGCATTTTCGAGAAGCTGAGGCGTTGTAGATCTGAACATTTGCGTAACCAGGCAGTCGTCTCGAGGAAGACGTCATGTTCCGTCGCTTCCAAGTCTACAGTACCATGGATGTCCTCAATGCGTAGCGTTCTTAAAGCCGTACATCCTTGTAGTAGCGAGAGGTGCGGTATTGACTCGTTCGAAACGCACAGTCTCAGATCTTCTAATGAGTTCCCATGGTGATTGAGAGCTAGTAGTGACTCGGCACCGGCCTTGACGTCGCTGATGGTTTGGAGTGTTTGGAGCGTGTTCGGTCGCATGGAGGAGAGGAATTTGGCGAACTTGTGATCATTGTCTTCTGAGACCCAGGTATAGATCATAAGAGATTTGAACTGCGGACAGTGGTCGTAGATAGATGCATGAACCAGTTCGTCTTCTAGAGGCTTTCCGTCCCACAGCTCAAGGCTCTGTAGTCGAGGAAGCCGGGGCGTCCATCGTACCAGAGCACCAGGCTGGACTAGTATAGTTAGCTCATATCCGAATGTTGAGAGGAAGGATGTACTTACGTTCACCGCTGATGATCTCCAGGGTTGGAGTATGCTGTGTGACCACTGAACCACGTTAGTATCGTACTGAACAGCTTCGCGCATTTATCAAACCTTCACCAATCGCGTCGATGATATCCGCTGTCTTGATCCGAGTATACTTTCTGCCTTTGATGTTCGTCCCTGTCTCAGTCTTCTCGAACTGCTTCAACGGCCCAGAGAAGAATTGCCTATTTTACAATCAGAGTTGGTGATGTCTGACATCGAAGCTGTACTGACTTGGAAACTTTCGCACGGAATTGGTCGTCATCGAGGAGATATCCCAGATCCCGAAAGTCTAGCGATTTGATATAACGGCAGTATGGGAATAGTGTGACATCGAGTGCAGATGCGACAATTGATCGCCAAAGAATGGACCTAAAGATGGGTGTAAGAAGTCAGTCTCTCTCTCATACAGTTCGTACGGTAAAAGTTACGTACCATTTTTGGATCGTGAGAAGCTTGGTGGCAGCTGGTAAGCCATAGAGATCTTCTCCTCCACCTCGAACAGGAGCGAGATGATGAGATCTAACGATCGTGTCAGTAAATTGACGATAAAGCAGCGAGGCCAATGCGACATACTTGTACAGATGAGTTAATGCAGGTACGGCGAGAGCACGGCTGGCGCAAGCACAGTTGAAGAGTGTGTCGAACTGTTCTTGATTCGCAAGCTCTTCACATAGGAGATGCAGAATATCATCAGGCAGCGCTGACTGAGTCATTTTGTTTGCACTAAGGAGGGCTGATATCGTGCTCCTAGGAAAGGTGAATGGATGGGCGCCCATGAGAGTAGGCGCGATGATGTCAATGCGCTAGCGCGTGTTTGACGCGCTCTTCCCGCTTTCGGTCGCCGGGGCTCGTCGCGATCCCACCCAAACACCCTGCGACGATGCGAGCAGTCGCACGAAGGCAAAATGGTTGTCCTCAACTTCACCCTGACGCCCGAGGCAGCGTCTAAGGTTCACGATCTGCTTGTTTGCCTCGGCAAGTTCAGCGAGACTGTAGCCATTGAAGCGCGTCGCGAAAAGGTAGGTTTGCCGCTCTTCCTTCTAGTCAGTCCGGCATCTCATACCTCTTGCGTCAGTTCACATTTACCGCTCTCAACTCTTCCAAATCCGCATACGCCGCCATCACATTAGACGGTCGACATTTCTTCGCCAGCTATGAATGTGTGCCGACTTATGGCGGTCCTGACGGCCGCTTCACGTGCAGTATGTACACCAAAGCGCTCTTATCGGTCTTCAAAAGTCGCTTGTACGACCCGCTAGGGCGTGATGGTGCGATCGATCGCTGTGAAGTCAGTGTGCAAGAGCGGGAAACCGAGGCGCAATGTCGATTCATCGTCAAGATGATCTGCAACCAGGGTGTCATCAAGACCTACAAGCTCACATATGAAGCCGTGGACGTCATGCATGCACTGTTCGATCGCAACGCGGCGAAAAACAGGTGGAGCATGCACTCCGGGGCTGTGAAGGAGTACGCTGAATATTTTGGTACCAAGACCGAAATGCTCGATATCTTTGCGAGTGAAGACGGACGCTGCGTATTTAAGAGCTACACAGAAAAGATCTCGAACGGGAAGGAAATCCTGAAGCATCCACTTGTCACAGCCGTCGCAGTCAATACTTCCGACTTCGAGGAATTTACTGTGCAGGCGGGTATGCACATCATCATCAACGTCAAGGATTTCAAGGCAATAGTCGTCCATGCAGACACAATCAAGACAAGCTTAAAGGCATTTTACTCCCAGCCAGCGCGTCCACTCCAGTTCAGCTATGGAAGCGATGGGCTGCTCTGTGAGTTTACGCTAATGACTTCTGGCAACCACACCGCCGCTCCATCTGCGCCAACACCTGCGACGCACGCAATGAGCAGCAGACAAACCTCTCGCACGACCTCAACCACAACTGCGGAGCGTGGACAGAGTCGCAGCTTCCGATCTAATATGCCACCGCCTGTGCAACCAGCATCGCGACGCGATGCCTCTGGCCGAGTGCGGAATCCAGGATCTCGTCAAGTCTCGGCACTGCAAGCACAACCTGCCCGTGACGATTCGGAAAGCCTCTTCGTACCGGAGGATGAGGACGCAGCCTGGGCGCCGGTAGACTATGATAAGGAAGAGACTCTGGGATGGGACGCGAATGCCAACAACGATGCTGCAGCTTTTCCAACATTCACGGACAGTGGTGGTGTGTCGAAGACGAATACGGCGGACAGCAATGAAGTGTTTGAGCCTACGCAACGTGTATCGCAGATCAAAGGACTGTGGTAGTCGCCTGACACTGACGACCGCATATTGCACGAAGTGGCTGTTCAAGGCCCAAAGCAAGTTCCAGCTGTCGCAATGGGTATACATTCGCATCTCCGATGCCAGCGGCTTATCAGATCTTATGCACCGTCTCAACTAGTGTATCTCCTGTCTTTCCGCAAGATCATGGAGGCTATCAACTCTGAGACTTGTGGTAAGGTTGCAATGGAGCCGTTAAGATTAAACTGCCGGAAGTGTGGTACTCCGAGGGAGGAAATGTTTGTTAACCTTCGCGCACACATCACAGCATTATTGCTGTTTCGCACATAATGTCACAAATGAGAGAAGTCGCAAGTATAATGTACTAGTTCACTAGACTGGTCGATTGAACGGGACGCTGAACATCCTGAAGAACACGTGCATGAACTACAGCTATCCAACTGCATCATACACAGATGTGTAGTACGCTTTAGAAGAGGCAAAGAAGAAAGATGCATCGAAATGGTTTCCTCTGTTGCGCGATGAGGCACATGGTACTCTTGGGGTTCGTGATGGCGATGGTGGCTTGATACCTGCGGGTCGGCGTGGCCGGTCCATGAGATGCTTGCTTGTTTACAGAAGCGACTCAATGTGCTCAGACTTTTACGTTACTGAAGATGCCTGGCAAGGCTTCTTCTGCTTACGCTGATCTACCGAATTTTCAATATTAGGAAATGGATTCCTTCAAAGCTGACCTAGGTATAATTGATAGAACACTGGATATCATCCAGGATGTCAAAGGCAGCACGCGCACAGGTGTACGAATTTGTGCAACCTTCCACAGCGTCGGCTGCGCAGCTTCCACGGCCTGCGACAGCATCAAAGGTGCGAGTCGATGACGTGGATCTCGCGTACGCGTATTTGCGGATGGTGGGGCTCCAGGGTTGTCTAGAGAAAACGATGTAGGGGATCTTACCATGTTATATCCAGACGATAGTGAAGCAACGCCTGCATACTCTTCTCGACCGACAATGGCACCCAGACGCATTCTAGTAATCGCTGGCTCGGACAGTTCGGGTGGGGCGTACGTACGCGTGCATGCATCCGCCCTTCATCAGCCACACACCACTAACCATGCTGCCACGCCAACAGCGGACTAGAAGCAGATCAGAAGGTCATTGCAGCGCATGGCTGTTATGCTATGACGGCTACGACTGCTTTGACAGCCCAGAACACACTAGGCGTCCAGGACATCCACCATACCCCGCCGGACTTTGTGC